AAAACCCCCCCCCCCCCCCCCCCCCCCCCCCCAGCCCGGGTAGTGAATCAAGCCGGAATTTCACCCCAAAAACCCCCTTTACAGAGAAAGAACTACGTCGACAGGCTTCATCAATCAAAGCTTTACTTCGTACAAGATTTCGAAGTCCACCCAGCCCGTCAGATCGTGCATTAAACCAGCTTGTGAAAGGCTTCCGTGTTACAATACAAGGTGCTATCTTACTCGCTAAAGAAAATAAGGAATTACGCCCCACCAACGAGAAGCAGAAGCAAAAGCGCACCCGATCTACTAGAACAATAGTCCACGAAGGAGATCTCTCAGTTCAGTAGGTTCGTGAGCTACGTTCAGAGCCATTTGAGGCCCAAGTAGCGCGTATCAACAACTATTGTGAGCAGGTTTCGGAAGGTTTACAACCACCTACGCGGGCCGGGCGAGCGTGTGGAATATGTAGACAGCCAGGACATAGAAGAGAAATATGTCCAGAAAGAGAAATAGGTAGTTGAATTAATTTAATGGCGTTGTGGTTGGGATATTTGCATTCAAATTCAATAGGTTGGGTTGGCTGATCCACTGGCTTGTCTGATCCACTCGCTTACCGATTACGTTAAGAGATAGTTAGTGCCTTAGGTGACAACATCTACCTGCAGCCTAGCGCCTGTTAGTCACGTTCACAAGTCCATCGATATAAGTATCTCGCGCCTCCCCGTTTTCCTTTTCCCTTTTACAACTCTCTGCACCATGGTACACGGCTGTTTTTACCGACTGGCCGCAAATTCGTCAGCGCTCAAATACCTGCCTCAGGTTGGCCTTGACGCACATGCAACTGTTCTCGCTAGCAATTCACGAACAGTAATCACGCAGACCTTTGTGAACCCTTCTTCTACAGAAGCAATCTCCGAAGTCTTCTACTCGTTCCCCCTATATGAAAGCTCCAGTATCGTCGGCTTCACTTGTCGCCTGGGCGATACTGTGATTGAAGGAATAGTCAAGCCAAAAGAAAAGGCAAATGAGATATATCAAGAAGCAAAGTCTAAGGGCCAAACCACTGCTATTCTCGATCGGTCGCTTAGTGCCGCCGATGTCTTCAGCACGCGCCTAGGAAATGTCCCAGCGGGGGGTACCGTTCTCGTCGAGATTACTCTCATCCAAGAACTGGCCCAGGACGCCAAGACAGATGGCGTTCGATACACGATCCCCGTTACTATTGGACCTCGATATGGAACTAGAGTTGGGCTTCCGCATCCGCCCCAAGGAGTTCTAGTAAAAACAGCGATAAAGGTGGACGTTGTCATGGAGAAGGGGTCTAATATCCGCAACATACGGTCACCAAGCCATCCAATCCAGGTGGACTTGGGCCGGACAGCTGATATGCCGGAGTCAACTTTTGAGTCGAACTATGCCTCAATCCAACTTCGTGAGAATGTGACAATTGACGAGGATTTCGTTATCACCGTCAACGCGGACAAACAAGATCTCCCATTTGCTTTCTTAGAGACACACCCTACATTGCCAAATCAGAAGGCACTAATGGTCTCCCTGGTACCAAAATTCAGTCTGCCACCGGATTCATCTGAAATCGTGTTCGTCATTGATCGTAGTGGAAGTATGATGGATAAGATGCGTACTCTACGTTCCGCCCTTGGGCTGTTTCTCAAGTCGCTGCCGTTGGGTGTACCTTTCAACTTAATCTCGTTTGGCTCCTCATCTGAAGCTCTCTGGGCTCGAAGCAAAGTGAGTACCAGAGAGAGCCTAGAAGAGGCTCTTCAGTATACGAAGAAGATCCGGGCCGATCTAGGTGGAACTGAAATCCTGTCCGGCCTCGAAGCAGCTGTGGAGAAGCGCTACCAAGACAAGGTCCTTGAGGTGTTGGTTCTCACTGATGGTGAGGTTTGTGACCAGTCCGAGGTCTTCGATCTGGTCAATCAGGCCAACCAGCAGCATTCCTCTCGGTTCTTCACTCTCGGCCTCGGGGATTCCGTTTCCCACTCTCTTATCAATGGTATCTCCAGAGCGGGCAAGGGCTTTACCCAGACGGTCCTGAACAATGAGGACCTGAATAGAACAGTGGTTCGAATGCTGAAGGGTGCTTTGATGCCTCGACTGCACAACAGCAGACTGGATGTGGACATTTCCAAGGTTGAGGTTGAAGAAGACTTCGTGAAGGTTCAACTTCCTGGTGATGATACAACAGACACGGAGCCCTCTCCGAAGCAAATTTCCCTATTCGATCAAGATCATAAAGAAGGGGAAGGAATTGGTGATGTGCGTGAGCCACTGCCGAAAATTGCTGTTCCTAGCATTTTGCAAGCACCACACGACCTTCCGGCTCTGTTCCCATTCATACGCTCCAATATCTACTTGCTTCTCTCACAGTCCATTGATTCGTTTCCGGAGACGATCGCCCTTCGTGCCAACAGCAAACACGGTCCCCTAGAGCTGGAAATCCCCGTTCAAGATATTGGCAAAGGCCAAACTGTTCATCAGCTCGCGGCCAAAAAGACGACCACCGAGCTTGAGGAGTCCCGCGGCTGGATATACTCTGCAAAGAATGCCGAATGCGAGTTGATTAAGACAAAATGGGAGAGTCGGGTTGACGAACTGGTTCAGACAGAATGCGAGCGTCTGGGGGTGAGATTCCAAATCGCAGGGAAACACTGCTCATTTGTCGCGGTGAGCGATGAGGCCCCGGCTGAGCATGATAGTAACTCAAAGGATGCCAAGGTATGCAAACATAGAAATGCTACTTACTCTGCGGAGTATTACAGTGTACGAAACAGTACCCCAGACCGATCGCATTGCTATGCCATTTTTCATACCCTGAAACCTTTTGCAATTACCTATGCTGACTTTGTTGATCAAGGCATCGCCCGAAAGTGTCGATTCCGGCGCCCTGCAGGTATGCCATGGCCGTGCCATGTAACTTGTCGCAATTCCATCTACTGATTTCTCTTCTAGCCCCCGCCCGCATTCTCAGGACTCAGCGTCCCGGAGGTAGGTCATCTTTCCTTTCCGGTCACTAGTTTGCATAAGCATACACTAACCATTTTTTGAAGGCCTCTGCATTCAACCTGGACTTCAGCGCAATGGGCAGCCCAGACATCCTGCAAACCTTTGACTTGGACACATCCCTCAACACCGATAACGACACCGCTGGATTCGAGCCGAAGAGCAAAAAGGCCAAAACATCCCAGATGTCGCATGGACCTGACTCGCAGGTATCATTTTCCCCGATGACTCCATCTTACGGCGCTACGTCGCCGGGTTACACCCCTACTTCCCCTGGTGGTATACCTAGCCCCCCAATTTTCCGCCCAGCTTATGCCCGCTTCAAGTCTACACACGCTTGTATTCCTGATTTCAGTCACATTCCTTCCAATTCTTTCAATCCAGAGGGCTCATGTAGTGGCTACGGTTCTCCTACAAGCCCAGGGTACTCACCTGCGTCCCCAGCATACGGATCTGCGGCTGGTAGTTATTCACCTAAGTCACCCATTTGGGAGGAAGACGACGATGAAGACGCAGACGCGGCATCAACCCTCCCTTTAAATAAACTCATCCAGCTCCAGACTTTTGAAGGTCACTGGGAGATGAGCGATGCACTGTTGCAGGTCGTGAGCCTTGATCCAAGCACTGCCCTCGTCAACATACAAACCGACTACGACTTCCTGGCGGGAATTGAGACGAACGAGGTATTTGCGGTTGAAAAATGGTCGCGTTTGATTGCTACATCTCTGGTGTGTCGATTTTTGGAGACAAATGAAGCTGAGTCTCACGATGTGTGGGAGTTGGTAAAGGTCAAGGCGGATGGCTGGGTACAAGCTGAGATTGCTGCAATGGCCACTACTGATCGAGAACTCGTCACTAAGCTCATAGAGCGGCTTGGCTCTCTGTTCTGAGATTCGACAAGGCTTTTAAGTCATGTTTTGGGGCGATTCATTGATTCTGTTGCTTGGTTTTGTTCACGCGCTAAATGTGAATTTGTGAAGGAGGGCCATATTTGAGTCCTCGTATATTCATAGTCTGAGATAAATTTGCCAATATGTATCTGTGTTACTTGAAACTCGACCAGGCTCAAAAGGTACAAAAGCGAAATATACCTAATTCTCAAACTCAAGCCCGGCCTCTTGGCGCACCGCACCCTAGATACCAGCAAGATCATCACGCTTTCTCATGTGTTCTTTAATTTGAGCCAAGTAAGAACCTGAAAGCTGAACGCCCTTCATAGTAGCGCCAGCCTTGGAGGCAAAATCAATCGCAAAAAGGGGCTCGTCACGATCATGGTAATCTCCCGAGCGCATGCGGCTCGAGTAGGCGACGTAAGGTCCTGGGAAAACTTATGCTGTGACCCTTTCAAGTTTTTATTAAAATGACATTGTTCGGCCCGTTCCGGATGTACATTAAAGAAGTGGACGAAATGCCGATCGTTCAACTTTTCACTAGCCTAGCACTTTAAATTACATTGCCCTCCTCCATAATTTTGGATACGGACAGCATGTTTTGCCGAACCGCCAATGGCATATCCGCCTGATTCACTAGGAGAGCCTCACTGGCTGTTTGACCACCAATGCGGATGGAAGAATCCGCTCCTCGACTTGCTAAGTACTCAAGATACGTGGCCTGTATATCGAGCTTCTCCCTCCAATGATAAGAGCGAAATCTTCCTTCCAATTTCAGGAGCTCTTTATTAAATGCTTCGCATACCGCATGCAAAGCCGTTGGTCCGTCTTCGGCGCCCATGCGGGTATTAATGTTAGCCCCCGACGCCAAAAGCCTCTCAATTGTGGCGCGGCCAATTTTCTGTAGGGGCTTATTCCATATACATAAGCCCTTTTGTAGGATGTACTAGCTCAATAGTATAGTAGGGTCCACTTTAAATCCTCCAGGACATAGGTCAAGAGACCTTGCCATACCGCTGAAACTTAGACTAGTGGATCCCCAAAAACCGAAATTTTAGAGTCGTAGGAAGCGAGGGACTCAGCAAGGGTGCTAATACTAACCGCGTGCCGGAGCGGATACTACACAGCCACGAGAAGACCTAGACTCGTGGCCAATTTAATTAGTCCCCACTTCTCGAGGATAAAGTCCAGGCACATTTAGGAAGGGCTCCAATAGCACCGCACCCAAGGCGCACGGTGTATTCACTCGAGGTCTCCACGATCTAAAATGAGAATGGGCTATTGAAGGAGTGCCCCTCGGCTAGCCAGAAATACGAGTCCATCGACTAGCTGTAAGGCATGCGTCGGTTCGTCCTAGTTGTGAATGGAATCAACATAGACAAGCGTAGGACTCATATATCCGTATTTTTTGCAATCATAGTAGGTATTTTCGCATATCAGCGGTGTTAGATAGTTGATATCTACGCCATAGTGTAAGCACCGCTCGATCATAGCTCTCCCCTAGCTTAACATGCATACCGCAGCGGCCATAATAGGAATATGCCAAGGCTAACGGACAGGACGAGTAACATAGGGTCTATAAATTATTCCTCCTTTCTCGATTAGGAGGTCCAGAACTTTAGTATGGGCCTTCCGAATTGCCACAGTCAGGGGAGTCACTAGTCGGTTACCATAGAAGGAGAATATCTTATTAGGGTTACCACCGCGGTCTAGTAGAAGGCGCACCGGACCTAGCGGAGAGGCTAATACTGTAACGGATAAAGATCCTTACAAAGAGAATACCATGTCAGGCAGTCTTGGCAGATCGACACCACGTCGTGGCCGATCCGAGAGGGGTTCATCACATGATATGCCTGTCGACATTGGAAGAGATAGATCCCTTATAGTCTAGGATCCCCCAGGGTCCCAAAAAGGGACTGGCAAGAATTAGTCTTGGCACTCCAGACAATACATTGTGTTCTCCTCCAAGCCATAGTATCTTACCCGGCTGACAGGCCATACACCTGGAAACAGTATACCTTTACATAGATCGGCTAGTTTTATAAGGTTTAATATTAGGTAGTAATATCTCTACCGGTATCCCCCGGACGACTAAGCAGGTAGAAAAACGTAAATCTAGGCTCAATTCTAGTCTAAGTTCAGCTACTAATAAGATCACGTCGCCTATAAAGCGTGATCTTTAACAGTTTTATAATATGTCGGTTAAGCTAGTTCACGAGCATGTCTTAATGCGGGATGAAATCAAGCGTTTACGGGAGGGAAATAGAAAGCAGACCAAAAAAGGGAGAAATCAAAGAAGAGAATGCCTAATATAGGTAGTTTAATAGAGGTTTTAGACCTTACTACCGAAGTTGGTGGAGAGGGAGGTGTTGGTGTAAGATATATATCGGATGTTACACCTGCTCCAGAACCCCCAGGTTGAACCTACACTTCCTGTTTTGCCCCCTATACGTCGGCAAATTACATGTTCTAAATGCGGAGTAAAGGGGCATAGTTTTACAAAATGCCCGCAGAAGGCTAAATTGTCAATTTAAAGGTGTTTTAGTTATTTAATTGGCGTTTTAAAAATATAAAAACTTTGAAGTTTTGATGGGGTGCCAGACCGGCAGGGATGACAGACCCGCCGGGAACCACGTTAACAAAAACGGAGGTGTCCCTATCAATTCCCCTCTTAAAGTCCGCCACGTCCATCGTTCCCCTCATTCACTTTAACTCTTTTTGACTCTTCAAATACTCCCAAACGCCCAAGTCACCATGTCCGACTTGGATGAAGATGTGGCGGCAAGTGTGCACCTACGCTGACCATCTTGGTCACCGCGTGGTGCTGGAGCAGTTCGTCGAGCCAGACTTCCCTCCAGATGACGTACACTTAATTCCCTTCCAGGTCTACAGCCTTGTTCCCCTGGATGACGACCACGAACAGCTCCGGGAATACCTGATGCAGAGCTTCATTGATGAAGAGCTCAAGCCTTTGTTCGAGATTTATTCATACTGCCCGCCCGACGCCTTCGCCTGTATTGAGCATAACCGCCGGGAAATCGCCCGCCGCAAGCAGCTACACCGGTCAGGGGTCGAGAATCCACCCCCACTGATTCCGAAATTCCCCCGTCGTAGCGATGGCACGCTCGGTGGGTTTTGTATCCTGATTCGATCGCACAGCTATCGACTGGGCCAGGATGAGGATGGGCTTGCTGAGGCGGGCGAAGGCCCGGACTTGCTCTACTTCAACCGCTCGTTTTCTAGCACGCGCAGTGATGTTGACGAGGCGCAGCGTATGTCCGAATACAATGGTCCCGCACCAGAGGCATTTGAATTGGCCACCGAGCGCATCACGAAGCAGTTTAACATCGGCCAGATCCTCATGCTTGATATCTTCCTCAAGGCCGGTCGCCCTAGCCTACAATACGCCTTGGATGTGGACGAGGACGAGCCTCCTAACTCGAATCCGCCGTCAGAAGAGCAGATTCGCGACCAGTTAGGCCAAGAAGCTTCAATCGGCGGCTTCTCTCTTGATCCGGCATTCCAGATTTCCCATGATGCCGACATTGTAACAGTCACCAATACTCCTGAGGGAAGCGTCCCTGATATTCAATACCTTGTCCATGCGCTTTTTCTCGCCTCCATCCGCGACACAGCAGGGCCCTCCCTCCTGGAAAGCACAGCGCGCCTCTTCACAGCGTCAGTTGTCTCCCACCTCCCGGCCAATAAAACCCTCGATCTCAAATTCTACATCCCAAACTCCCCTTCCTGGTCGGCCATCCGCCCCGCCCAAGCCGAAGTTCTATCCCACCGAACCCAAGAAGGGGACCAAGAAAATCCCTTTCCCATCGGGGCCCTGCACACCTTTTCCGCAGGCGATGACCAACCCCCCACCGCACATCGCTTCACCCCCCAACAATCCGACAAATATTTCACCTCAGCAAAAGGGACGGCCAGTACGCCATTTCGTCTGTTCACAGTTGCGCTCGATCGCGCCAAGTTTGTCTCCGAGGCCGGAGTTTACTTCTACATGGCGGACTTCGATGCGTCCGGGGATCCGGACCCTTACTTGGAGGTATGTCCCGATAATACGCAGATTTTCCGGGGCGTGGATATGAGTACGGTTGCCGGACGGTTGGGGATAGTTGTTCTTGACGGGTAATCTGGTTTTGTTGGGTGGTTTACAACATGTACATGTCTTGTGGAGATACCACTAAGCTGCAGTGTTTCATCATACATATCAAACTCGGATTAGATGCGATGATATGAAAAGCTTTTATTACTGTATTGGCGGTCTGGCGGCACTTTTGGCCAATTGAGGGATATTTCGGTGTACCTTAGAAAGGTATAAACAAACAAGTTTTCAATCACAGATTCTTTTTACACCTTCCAATCCTCTGGATGCCTTTTTGCGTAGTCTAGAATGATCTGATAACTTAGACCATCGACATTCCTTTTCTCACTTTCTGCACCACGGGCGCACAATAACTGACATGCTTCTAGCTCAACACCTGCATTCTTCGATGTCCCATCAGAGAGAAGAGCTTTTCTAGTATCAAGGTTCTGTCAGGCTACACTACAATGTGACGGAGATTTTCTATGGGGTAGTTCGACTGTCATGTCAAGCAAAGGGCTGTATTCGAGCAAAACATGCATGAGCTCAGATTGGTTGTGCTCGCACACTTCGTTGTCAGTCAAACCCAAAGTAGACGTCCATAAATAAGATCTACCTCATGAAAGCTTTGAAAGTTCACATCAGCCCCGTGTTCAAGCAATAACCTGACCGATCGACTGTCGCTTTTCCAGCATAAATCTTGGATTGCAGCTCGTTCAATACTATTGGCAAAATTTCGGTTGGGCTAGAAGTAATCATGATAACCTAGAGAATTTCTACTGGTGATAGTGGAAAGACTGACTGGTCACTTTCATCCTTAAACGCGAGGCCAATTAATATGGTACACGCCTGGGCGACATTCTCTGATAGTAGGTGAAGCACGAATCTTTGAATCTTATCAAAGATC